AAAAAAAAAAAAAAAAAGCTGTGTAAGGCACAAATTACACATAAATAAAAGCAAGTAAGTAAGAAATAAATGAATAAAAGCAAGTAGAATTTGTAGTATTTGTGCGAAAAGAAATTAGCAAGCAGATGAATGATTTTGTGAAAGCATAAAGTCGTTGAGCTGTTTGTTAAGCACAAAAGGATTTAGCACTATTAATAACAGCGTTAAGAGAAATTAGTCATCAAAAGTAGCATTGCTTTCAAAATTATTTGAAATGAAAAACAATACATTTAAATAGACTCATGCATAAATTTTTCCAATTTATTCAATCCTTGCATTGGATTAATAATGAATACGTGAATGAAGAATTATACACGCAAAATGTCAATTACTAAAATTACTTTAATGATTATTTGTTAAAGAGTAATTGTAAATTACTAATAACAACTTTCAATTAAATTACGCTTATTAGAAATAATCTGAGCAATAATATAATATGAAAGTACAAAAAGTGGTAACATAATAACTGGCTTGATAGACATAAAATTAACAAAAATTTAAATCCAGAATTTCAATTTTATTCTTACAAAAATGTTTTTTAAAAGAAGAGAAACTAAATGCAAGTTCTATTTCTCAACAATTGATAAAAACCTTTTTGAATCAATTTTAATGAAAGTAAAAATGAGTAGTAATAAACTAACTTCACTTTTATTAGCTTAAGAATGCAAAACTCATCATATGACATGAAAAGGTCAAAAATGAGTTTAACTGAACTGTATGTGTTGCAGAGAATATTTGCATTTCCTAGTGTAAAAAAGAGAAGTTTTTTAATTTGTTCGCATTAGATCGAAAATATCATACAAGTTTATGATGAATGATGCGCAAGAAGAGAAAACAAAAGGAACTAGAACGGATAAATATAAACATGGAAAAAAAGCAAGGTTAGATTTGAAAGTAATTTTACCTATACAGTATCCTGAAGGTGACATTTCCCAGCCATCAGGACATAATTTTTCCTCGTCAACATCTAAAATTGCTTGATCCTCCACAGCTTTAAATCCGTAGGCTTCATTCGTATTTCTTGAAGTTATCGTAATATCGTTTGAATCATAATTTCCCGGTACGTAACGATAGCTTTCATCATATATTTTCATGTATTCTTGACGTGGTTCATAGCCAGTACTTGTACTCGAGCGCAATTCCCCCAAATCACCCGCTTGTATTTGATACATCCCATGCATTTCAGTATCATAATCTCCACAAAAAATGTACCAAAATCGCTTAAACATTTTTTTACAAAATGCAAAAAGCTCTACAGTACGGTGCCGAATGATGAACTCAGGTAAGCGATAGCTGACAAATGAGATTTGTGCAGAATTGTGTATTGAAAAAAAAAAAAGAAAGTGAGGTGAAGGAAAAAAAATCACTGTCGAGTTTAGAATATGAAGAAGTTTACTAACCAATACAAGAGTAACCATCCGATGCCAATTCGTATCCAGCACGGCAAGAGCATTCTACTCCGGCACTGCCTCGATTCTTGCAAAAATGCTCACATTTTGCTCTTGTGCAACCATCACCAGTGCTTACAAAATCTATCAAATTTAAATAACCCAAATTTCAATAATCACAATGTTCATTTTTTTCATTGAAGTGTAATTGTATTATTGAAATAAGTAAATTATATAGTTTCTTATTGTAAAATAGTGCATCACTTACATGAAAAAAATAAAAAACAAATTCATAGCTCTATGTGAACTTTGCAAAAATTAAAAAAAATTAATAAATAAATCACCAACTTTCATAAGTTGGAATCTGCAAATCAAATTCTGATCTCATATTTTGTGAACAACACTGATGGAAAGAACGTAAGCATGCCCAGTTAACTCCATCAGGAGGTGTACAGTTTTTTCTCTCTAGTAGCAGCTCTTTAGCTAATAAACAACATTCACAACATTCCTGTAGTTAATCAAAAGTATTTATACAGATCTAAGTTATACACATTGTTGTTGTGGACCTAGATGATAGTATAAATTTTAATTGCTAATCAAAGTATAATATTTTTTAGACATATTTTTGATGAATAATTTTAATAATGATATTACCTTATGGATTACTCCATCAATTTGATCAGTATTAGATGAACAGTAATTTTCTTGCTTAGCTTTCTTAACCCCATTACCACAACTTTGTTCCATTAATGTATTTATGCAACAGATTGATGCTGTCAAAATACAGCTAACTTTTGTTTCGTCAAGTCTGATATTATTGCAAGTTGATGTCTGCTCAAAATATTGTCTTCCATTCGTACAACAACGTATTAATTCGTTTGCATCAACAAATACTGTAATTGTATTACTACAACTTTATCACACTTTATAATGCAGTTTTTGCAACGAAATGAAAAAGACATCTCTATGCAGCATAAAGTGCTAATCAGAAGTGTACTTAATATAATTTCTTTATTAAAAGAAAAGAAATGGTATTTGTAAATTGAAAGTTCTGCACATTTGCATTCAAATATCTTTTGAAACAACAATCAAAAAAGTGCTAATCAAATAAAATCAAAGGCATAAAAATGCTAACCATCAGCAAACCATATAGTGTTGTAAAAAAAAACTTCAAATAACCTACCAATGATCAAAAAAATAGCCAAATGATTTGAATTTTCAATCAACTGCCACATTCGTAATTCTGTAAGTCATGAATTGAAGTTCGTTTATTCTATATAAATTATTACTCTTTTAAAATGGCCTTAATCAGTAGACATGCAGAAATATCATACAATAGATGACTCCAATTTGTGCTGACTTTTATGCATTTGACATTAATAACATTAATTTTTAAGGATTTAATGCCGTTAAAATTATGTATATATAGCTTGTTTTGTTTATTTATAAAAACAAATACATAAATATATAAATAAATAAATAAATATACGAATAAATAAATAAATACATTTAAAAGAGGGAAAGATCTTGACATGGTCAAGAAATTTGGATCTGAATAACAGCAGATGGTGTTGATATTTTTAAATGGTAATCTTTTTTTCACTAGTAAACTATAATTTAGGAATCGGATTTGTCAATTGTTTCAAAAAAGTGTGAAAAGGAAAACTTGCAGGAATTAAATGTTTAAATAGTTATGCACATAGTGGAGATTCGTGGAAATGAGCAGCTAGTAATAAGATCAGCTTCGCAAGTTTTCGTTTCACTGTTGAGGCAATACTTCCTGCAACATACAGAAGGCAACTAACTAGCTGTTATGAAGGATAGTTGTTGAGAAACAATAAAGTTACGACAAATGATGCATTCAACTTTTGTTTTTTTACTTTATTTTTTTCTACTTCAAGACGTTGCAAGGATGAGTAATGAGGAACAGGTGAAGTAAGCGTATATATGTGTGTATAATTGTATTCATGCCGTCAAGTCCAGATATTTTCTTCCTTCAAGCACCTCTGGCATCTGTTTGTATCTATTCGAAATACACCGAACGGCAATACATTTTCATTGCTGCTAACATAAAAAATAAAACTATTGCCTATAACTTTTATCATTATCATTCATTAGGACACTCTGAATGCTCTTAAAATGCCAATAGACAGGCAGCTTTTCTCTCTACACTCAACGCCGTCATTTTTCAGTTGCCAAAATTTAACAAGCAAATCTTAACGAAGCGCAAGATTTGACGAATAAACAACACTTTTTTTTCCTTAAATCATATCAATCATTACACCTTCAGTATTTCTAAAAAAAAAAAAGAAAATATTATCCAACTTTATAATTATTTCAGAAACTTTTCAAGCATAATATGTGTACAACGCATTCTGATTCTCCATGAAATAATTGTGCGTTTTCAAATGATAAAATTGAGTTCAGTAATCACTGATCAAGTATTAGTATGAGTATACCATATGAATAGAGAAATTGACATTCATTAATTTAGAACTTGCATAACTGAGTGAATAAAAAAGCATGGATATAATGGTCATAGGCATGAAATAGCAATAATTGATAATAAATCAAAAGAAGAAATAAACGAAAAAAATTTCTGATGATCACTGTTCTGCAGTGTCGCACTCTTGTGTAGTGCCAATCCAATCACTGATTTTTGTCCACAAAGAAGAAACGAAGCCAATAATCTGACTGCTTTATTTACATAAGTGATGCTATTTGGGGTGAAGAAAAACTGTCATTTCTGAATTTCATTATATGAGAAAATTATTGAGTACTGCAGTATTGCTTACCAGCATGTAAATAAGCTTTGATAAAAAAATAGAGCAAATGCACTTAATAATTGTTTGTTATTATTAGAAAATGAGCAATATTTTGCTGAAGAAAATTTTCTTTTTCTTTTTTAGTTTGCAAATTTAAACATTAGAATTCATAATTTGTTTTTTGATGAAAAGTATCTAAAAATGATAATTTTTGAAGTTATGTCATAAAATTACATGTATTCACATTAGTAATCTAAATTAGATTAAGACACAATCCAAAGTAAGATTATTTTAATTTAACAACTAGCAATCAGAGCAATTTCCTCTTGAAACAAGAAGTATCTTAGAAGCAGCAGATAGACAGATAGATGAATAGATAGATAGATTGACTGACTGACTGACTGACTGACTGATGGATAGATGGATGGACAGATAAACAGATATCTCTTTGTTGTTGACTTTGTTGTGTGCTGTGAATGTATCATCGTCATCATCCATTCAAATATTACTGCAAAACAAATCAAAAACAAAGTTTCTAAACATTTATCGTACCAAGTGCTACTTGCTTTACTTCTAAAATTGATTATTACTGGAAAAATTGTGCAAGTTCAATAAGCAGCATTAAATGCTCTGTTCACTTAATATCAATAAAAGATAATAATTGTCACACAAGATCATTAATTTTCAAAATGACCTTCAAATAGATTATAAGGCCGCATATTTCATTTTAAGTTAATTTGGATTACAGTGAGTTTTATATTAGTTCTTTCTCAAATAATCAAACAACGGGTGCTAGTTACTGTTTAATTCATTGAATGCATGCAATCAGTTTATAACTGCTTGAGTAATATCAATAACTTGCGGTTTAATAAATATGAAATATTGAAGAAGCTGGCAAAAATTCAGCTGCTGATTGCACAAATTTCGCGGCAATATTTAAATTGTGAAAAATAGATACATGCAGAGGACGTTGTAATAAATGTTAAAACTGTGTCATAGTATTTGATTATGAATTGATATTTGTGTTGTTTTGCATTCATTTTATGGCTCTTTCCATGAATGTTATGCACAGTTTTGTTACTGCATCAAAATGCTATCAAAAAATTTTTTTTAATCTGTTGAAGCATATTTCCATATTATCATAACTTTTGCTTATTTATTTTGGTTCTATTGTTAGTATTGAAGTAATTTTGGTTATGTGTTGCTTTATAAGCATTATAATAAGCACAGTTTAGACTAAGATGTCTCTTATACTATTCAAGTGGTTTCAGAAATCGTTGCGGTTAAAATGAATTCAGTAGAATTAACTTCTAACTGCCCTCATGAAGAGAATGAAAAATTAAATGACAAATGCAGTCTTAAAGCAGCTATAAGTGATTGTGTACAATACAAAACCCAACTATCTACTCGATTCATTATCTCAAATGGTGTGTTATTTAATTTGACTAGGTGTGATATGAGAAGTTGTAGGTTCTAAAAACTAATATATTTGTTTTCAAAATAGCACTTCTTGAATATGAACATAGTTTTTCATCCGGCCATTGTACGTTGTTGTAGTTAGAGACGTTACATAGTATCCTGTCTTCTTATTTATACATAGATAAAACAGTGATAAGAATTTGCCCATTTAAACAAAGCTTCATTCCTTCATATATTTGTTAAAAATGTTCGATAGCTCTATTAAAAAAATTTAGTTGTGATAATTTTTTTTTACAGTGCTCTAATTCGTTTATTATTTAGGGGAATTGTTTGGAAAGCAGCTTCATTCACTTCGTCATCCAAGAACTGGTCGAGGAGCAATCTATGCTATAGGGAACGAAAGAATAGAAGAGTTACTTAAATTCGACGATGGGTTCCGGTATGATTGTAATTTTTGCCAGATTTATCAAATTAAAGTCTGTAGATTAGAGCTTGCTTAAATTTGCACTCACTGTTAAACTTGTAGGTATATAATGAAGAAATGCTTTTTAATTTGTAGAGAAGTTAAAATGAACTATTTATTTTTCTGCAAAAAAAGGGGACAAGTTTTGATTTTGTTAATAATTATTTTTTAGTTCAATTTTATTCGGTAATAACGTGATAAGTAATGGTTCATTGTCTTTCTTGGTTCCAGTAAACCCAGTGCTATTGTTGTTGCCTTATTTACGAAAATACGCGCAGGTATTGGTCTATTACTATTTAATCATGATGGAATAAGATATGAGTGGACATTGTTGAATTTTTAGTTGTTGATTAAGCTACATAAAATAAAAAATAGTAGTGTTATTGTTTTATTTGTGTTAATGTCGGTATAGATGAAACTTCATATATTCGTGAGGCTTATGTAATGGGAATTTTTCACATATATATATATATATATATATATATATATATATATAT